TATCATATATTAACAAACAGAGGCCTTAACATAAAACTGAAAATAAAAATCCTAAGGACAATGATCTGGAGTGTACTAACATACGGATGTGAGGCATGGACTCTTACGCATGAAATGATGGAAAGAATTAACTCATTTGAAATGTGGTGCTTGAGAAAGATGCAAAGAATAAGTTGGACGGAGAAAATAACAAATGAGGAAGTTTTGGACAGGCTGGGCTTGAGGAGAAGGTTGCTTATAAATATCCAACAAAGAAAGGTACGATATGCTGGACATTTGGCTAGAGGATCAGGAGGACAACTACTAAAAACGGTCATTGAGGGACTGGTGGAGGGGACAAGATCTAGAGGAAGACCCCGAAAGACTTGGAGAGATAACATCAAAGACTGGACTGGAAAGGATTTAAGAGAAGCCTGGAATAGAAAAACATGGAGAGGAATAGTTCATCAAATGCAACCCTCTGTAGAGAGGATGCCACTGGATAGATAGATAGATAGATTGTAAAGTCATTCATATTTTATATAGCTTATATAAATTTATTCTACCAATGGTCATAATTATTTTTAATAGTTAAAATTTAAAAACAGTTCTATGAAAATTTTTTCTAATTTAAAAGTGATATTTATAGAATACTTATTTTTATTATAAGTGATTGCGTGAAAGTATTTTTGAAATTATAAAAATTTATAATTATGTTTTTGATCTTTACTTAGAGAAAGTCAATTTAAAGTTAACTTTACAGTTTCATTTGTTAAATTTCATACAGTGCAAAATAGAATGGTTTTGAAGCATTTGATGTAAAATTTACTAATTAAAGATAAATGCAATATATGCCAGTGAATATTCCAGTCTATTTTGTAAGATTTAATAAGGTTATCCAATTGGTAATTTGCTTTTTGTCCTTATGTTACAATATGAATCTATAAGCACTAAGTTTTAAAAATTAAAGATAGAACTACATATCATAAATCAAAATTCTGAAATAAATGAAATCATCAAACTATTTTTGTTTAATAATTATCCCAAAACCACCTTATTAAAATGGATAGATAGATCAGATAATAGAACACCAAACATAGTCCAAAACATTAGTTTATCAGCTAAATCCTATAAGGTTCTGTATGTCAAAAATGTTTTTGAAAAGTTTTAAAATAAATTCAAACAATTTAATATATGTATTGTACCAGTCCACACAAACACAATTCAAAAAAGTTTAAACAACAATGATACTATTATCAACATTCTAGATATAAACAATGTGGTTTATAAGTTTACCTGTAGTTGTAATCACACTGGTGAAACAAAAAGAAAATTAAAAATATGCTTTAAAGAACACATCAATGCTATAAAATACAACCTTTGAAAACTCTGCTTTTGCTAAACACTGTATTCCATAATTGCAATATTAAGTAAGTATTAAAAAAAAATGTAATTTTAAACTATTTTAAACATAAATCCAAATTATTATAAACCCACCAAATTGTAACATACAGCTAAAGAGGAACAGAAAGCTCATTCGAATTGCATATGTCGTCATAATAAACCCGTGTCTACCCACTTCTGTAATTACTCCAACAAAGTCAATAGTGTGTGATAAGTCACCATTATAAAGGTTATCCAAATTTTACTTCTTATGAAAACTGTTTTTTGATATTTTAAATATGAGTGAAAAAATTATTTTAAAGATTTAAACATTTTTATAACAACAGAATTTAAATTAACCAAAGACTTATTCAATTTCAAACTATGGTTTATGTTTGTGAAATAAAATTATTTTGTTTTGTAAAATTTCTAATATACTAGACTACTTTCTAAGTATTTATAATATTGTACTTACCATCTTGTACATTTTCTCTGTCTGGAGGATTATCAGACGAAATATGAGAACAATTCACTGAACCACAGTTGCATCTATCATGTGAATTACCACAATTATTGACACAATTACTTGCACATGGATTACTACACATATTGCTCATTGCATTAGGTTTTATATCTAGCATGGCACTTCCAGTATTTTTGTTACTTTGAGTTTTTTCAGTATTTTCAATCACACAACAATTTACATTCAGTTTTTGATCTTCACTTTTTGCAACAAATTCTTGATTACTTTTTTCATTACTTGTATTGTTATTACTGTTGTTGTTATTATTATTATTATTATTATTGGAACCATTTCGATTGTTCTCGCAACACAATATATCTGTGTTGTTTGTGTCCACTACACCAGTCGTGTTACTATTTGAGTTTATACAATTAATTTTCTCGAGCATCTCTTTAAGTTCTTCTTGTTCACGTTTAAGGATGGAATTATTATTAAATAAAATTATCTCCTTTCCTTTATTATTCAGCTCCTATTAAATAATAAATAAAAATTATTATATTTATTCAGATTATGAAACTACAATATTTTAATTTTATCAATATTTTTTAAAAATAGTGGCTTATTATTAAGATCGAGATTGCTTTTATATTTTTACAATGTTTGGATCTGTAAGGCAACAGATTTAGTAATATTTACTTTATAAAATCCAAAAATTAACTGCTTATCTCTAGTCAAATTACTTTATATCTGATTATTAGATTAGTCTTATTATGGCTAAATAATATGGCAGATCATTCAGTATTTACTACAGCTCAAATGCATGACGTTTAACAATGTTATTACAAATAAATTCAATACAACTATCTTTAACTAAAGTAATATATCCAATTTTATTTTTGAAATAATCTTAATTTTGAATTAATACAATAAAATAATACAAAAAAATGAAAACATAATAAACTTTTAAATGTTAACATTAAATCTTTTATTGCAAATACCACTTTTTAAGTTTATATCTAACTCATTTCAGAGAATTTAATTAAATTTTACTTTTGTTGAAAAACAAATATAAAAAACATTTTGATCCATTTTTAATGAATTAGACAAACTGAAGAATGTTTTATAATCAAATTAATTAATGACAAAATAATATACATTATAGTTAAATATGTAGAGAAACTTATAACATTTATAATAATATAAGTATTAAAGTAACAATTACCTGAAGTTGGCATTCAATAATTGGCAATAGATGATAATTTAGATAGGTGTAGAGTTCTCGTTCTTGGCTGTTGGTTGTCTTGCGAAATTGTTTGATAAACGTCTGCCAATCATTGAGGGTAAAGCACACGCACTCCCAGTCTTTCTTCGTCGTCTTCTTTGGCGAATTCTCACGATACAGTCTCAAATCTGGGCACAGGCATCAAAGAGCTGGTGTTGACCAAGTGATCAAAAAACCGAATAATGCCTATGTTGTATAATTTATAACATAATTGAAATTATTTTTTGTGTTACCAAATGTATAAGTGATTCCTTTTTTGGGTTCCACTATTATTTAATTCACTTTTGCATTAATTAAAAATATTATTAGTTTATTTATAAATTTGTTGTACTTCTTCCCAATTTTATCATAATACACTGTATATGTTTCTACCTTATCAAATGACATAAAATGTAGCTAGGCACTTTTATTGTGATTTTTTAAATAATTTTATGATAAAATTAAAATAGACGAAATTATCAAGCAATTCAATAAAAAATAATAAACTTCATAAAAGACGGTTAATTGGAAATTTATAATTGTGACAGCATATTATTGTAGGTTATTTAATAAAAATTATTAGAAGGTTATTTGAATAACAAAATTTCCAACTTGAGCCAAACAAACTTCACATTGAAAAGAACAAAATAAAATGTCAACATTTAAACAGTAAGATCTCAGGCTTCAGACAAACCGCTGCATTTTTTCTTATGGAGTTGTAAGGCTTGTAAGGCTGACAAGTACCAACATCAGCAATACACTAGGTATTAAAATAATATATGCTAATATTAATACTATAAAAACTAAGGCTGGATAGCTGAGAAGTCAAGGTCACAGCCTACCGGTCCAGGGGACCTGGGATCGAATTTGCATGGGTCAAAAAATTCCCAGGAATTTTTCAGGGGTAGTCCATTTGGATATGTTGGGCCCCATCCTTCAACACTTGGCTGCCCTATTGTGGGCCTGGCCGAATCCATAATGGGCTTACTAGAATAGATTCTCTTAATGCCCACAGGGCGGAAAGAGTTAAAAAAAAACTATAAAAATACTATTTATTCTTTTTTTCATTGGTGACATTTAGTTTAAACATTCTTTGTCACAAATATCAGTTTGATTAGATTGCATAATACGGCAGTAAACAAAAAATAAAATTACATTGCCAAATTTCCATGAGCTTTATATTAGGACTTTAAGGGCATGGATTTACCATGATTAAAGTAAAGAATAATTCAATAATTGATTGTACAGAAATGACTCACTCAATAATTCATCAAATGTTGACACAGACTTATGAAAGCAATATAGAAATTTAGAATTGTGCTGCCTTATCTTATTAAATAAAGAAGAAAATGCTCCCATCAAACTTCCTTCTATATTTTCCAGAATTCCAAGTGAACTATTTGACTATTTTTCATTTATGTAATAAATATTGATAGATGGCATGTTTTTTCTGATCCATCACAAACCACTGCTCCAACCAAACAAACTAATTGAAAATATAGAAAATATCACATGCACAGTCACTGTGAGTAGTCAGTTTGATACAGTGCTTAATTAATATGGTCTATGACTAGCCATGGTCACAGTTTTAAACCAAATCATATGTAATTATTATATAATAGGTATATACACATATGTATAAATATCTCTAAAATTATCAATTGATAATTGACTTATTTTTAAAAGTATAGCTAAAATAAAATACAATGATAATTTTACAACTTGATTATACAAGTAATAATTATGATAAATAATCAATCCATATTTGATTAATACTAGGAACAGTCTATTTCTCGTCAAACATGAACTAAGAATTGAGCCGAAGTGCTAGCAAGTCAATAATATTGTTTCGGGAAGGCATCTAAGACAATCAGTTGCCGCTAATGATGGTATAAAAAAGAATTTAAAATAAATTGCACTTGCTCATGCTAGTAACCTTAGACATTAATTAATCACATCTGTCAGCATGGACACTGTCACTCTGACCCCACTATATCTCAGAAACTAAGTCACGGATTATCATTTTTATTACATTTTTGAATTCCACATCACTATGTATAATGGCAAAGTTTTATCAAAATCAACCAATAAAATTTTGAGAATAAACGCAATTCTATAAGCCACAGAGAAAAGGCTTTACTAATGTTCCACCTCAAATACCGAGATAGAAAACACATTCATATGAATAAAAATTAAATAAGTTTTCATATCTTAAAGTTTTTACAGATAATTTTCTTCCTATTTGAATTGCATTATATGTAATGCTAATTATGCCATTATTATTATTTATAAATAATAAAGATGCTACATTAAAACCTGACCAAAACAGAAACCTGCCTAAATAGAAAAAATTCTTTGAAATAAAGCAAATTCTTCTCTATTAAATTTTACTATAAGCTGGAAACTTGTTCAACATGGAAACTGAAATAATTTTTGGGTATGAAGAATGTAACTCGACCTAGATAAGTAGACAAGTAAAATTGCTTCTGGGTATAATGGTCATTGCAGAGCATAAAAAACTGTATTCTGCAAACAATTTTGAGCCTTGTCAGAGAATAAAGATTATGTGACAAGGGACATACAAGATCTTTGTTAAATATTAGTCTTTGATGAAATTAATCAGGGACAGAATTGAATACTTTTAAGGATCAAACAAGTTTCTGAGAATCAAGCTTGAGAACAAAAAATGAATGTAATTCATGAAAACAATGAGAATAAGTAACATAGTAATGTCAATTTGCCATATATGGCATAATTAGTAAATAACTAGTACCAAGAATTTGAAAACAAATTGATTAACATGATGATAATTATAGAGAATTAAGTTAATGATTAATTAGAGCAATGGTGCCCAAACTTCAGTCCCTGGGTCAAATTTGGTTTGTAACACACATAAATCCAGCCTGGGAACTTATTTGTCATATCAACTCTAAATGATAGAAATAGGCCTGTTTTCTGTATATATGGAATATACAAAATATTTACGGCCTGCCTACCTATAACTTATCTGCAATTTTGGCCCAGCAATCAAAAAGTCTCGGCACCAGTGAATTAGAATTCCTCGAGAAACCAGATCAGTGAATAATGTGGTTTCTATATTACTGTAATATGATTAGAATTTTTGAAGGCAAAGAAAAATACTAGTTTTTAGTACTCAAATTGACTTGTTTACCATCATGTGAATAAGGATCACATCATAGATTTATTCAAATATCCAGACAAGTTCTTAGAAACAATCAAATAGTACTCAATTCTTGCATTGGAATATTCCATCTTCCATACTGAAGTTTTGAATTAAAACATGTCTAAGCAGCAAAGAACTTTAGCAATTCTCCAGTTTTTTATTTAATATCTAGATTGTTTTGGTAATTTTTAAGAAGTGATCAAATTTATGAAGGATCTGAAGATCAGACACAAATGTTCCATAAAGATTTATCAATTCTAAGAAAAAGTTTCAAACAAAGTAATATTCAGAGTGCAAAGTTTATTTTTTTAAATAATTATTAATAGTCAGTAATAAAACTAAGGTAATTAAATAAGAAAAAGTACAACAAAATCAAAATAAACTATTTCAAAGAGGAATCTTCACAAGTAAATAGCTTCTGTTTGATTTTAAAACAGTATCATTAACAAATAAACTATACAAAATAAGTTTTTAAAAATATCCAAGTTTCATTGCAGTTTAAATTGAATAATGTATTTTTAAAATTTAAAATCACTTAATACATAACTATTTGTGTTTACTGGAACTTTTTATACTTAAATGTTAAATATATGTTTCTTTTTCTGTTGTTGAAGTCTAATTCACTAATATTAATGTAAAATGCATCAAAATAAATGAATTGTTTTACTTTCCAAAAATATAAATATTTTCATTTTGTTTACTGTAGTACTGCATGACTGTGATTTACAAGCATATTTCATTCTTGAAAATCTCTTGTAAATAGGAATGAGCTTTTCCATTATTTCTTATGGTCAAAATTTGTATTTCATTGGACACAACTCAGACATTCTATCCGTGCTCATCAAATAACCTTAAAGTACTACAAAACACCTATTTATCAATTTATCAATGAAATGAAATAAAATAAATGAAAGTATTGATTAGGATATTGCATTGATTTAAAAGAAACTACTACAAAATAAAAAAAGTGAATACATCACAAGTAAATATGTATGTTGGTTTTCTTACCATGAAAATAAAGTAATACCTTTATTTTAATGGTAAGAAAACCAAAGTATGTTAAGACAACAAACAAGCAGAAAACAAATAAAATAAAATAAATTATTTTTAATTAATGAAATTGTAGATAGGTGGGTTTTTATATTGAAATAAAGCCCACTAAACTGCAAACCCGCATTACATCATAATTTATTCCTTGCAAATGATAACAACATAATACTAAGAAAATGAAGAATGGAATCTAATCCATCTAACCAAGAAAATGGAAATTTCAATCTTGTCACCACTTGTGATTAAAATGTTTTGTTCTCATAAATATAAGCTGGCATTTTTGTATCAACTATTTCTCTTGTAAATGGAAAAGAGAAAGGAAATAAAACAGCTCACTATATTGAATTCTCATATATCAAGTAATATTAAATAGAAGTATTCAAATGATAACACTGGATTCAAGATGTAAATCTTAGAGTGACTTTTTGAAATGTTAAGTACAGAGCTTTGCGTATATGTTATACAGAATCTGGGAATGTTGCTCATTTAATAAAATAGGCAATTGCATCAAGTGATATTAGTGCAGCATTGTAGTAAATTTATGAACTTACATATTCTGGAGAGCTTTAATTTTGAAAAAATTGTAGATCTATAAATTTCCACTGTCATCTATGTGGTCGTCTGTCTTTCCCTAATCTCAAGAACAGACTAACGACACAAAACCTTTCTCACTAATTTCTAGCCTTATTAACTGGAGTACAAACGTTTTCGGCCTTCTTAATAGGCCTTCCTCGGGTACACTCCCGAGGAAGGCCTATTAAGAAGGCCGAAAACGTTTGTACTCCAGTTAATAAGGCTAGAAATTAGTGAGAAAGGTTTTGTGCCGTTAGTCTGTTCTTGAGATTAGGGAAAGACAGACGACCACATAGATGACAGTGGAAATTTATAGATCTACAATTTTTTCAAAATTAAAGCTCTCCAGAATATGTAAGTTCATAAATTTACTACAATGCTGCACTAATATCACTTGATGCAATTGCCTATTTTATTAAATGAGCAACATTCCCAGATTCTGTATAACATATACGCAAAGCTCTGTACTTAACATTTCAAAAAGTCACTCTAAGATTTACATCTTGAATCCAGTGTTATCATTTGAATACTTCTATTTAATATTACTTGATATATGAGAATTCAATATAGTGAGCTGTTTTATTTCCTTTCTCTTTTCCATTTACAAGAGAAATAGTTGATACAAAAATGCCAGCTTATATTTATGAGAACAAAACATTTTAATCACAAGTGGTGACAAGATTGAAATTTCCATTTTCTTGGTTAGATGGATTAGATTCCATTCTTCATTTTCTTAGTATTATGTTGTTATCATTTGCAAGGAATAAATTATGATGTAATGCGGGTTTGCAGTTTAGTGGGCTTTATTTCAATATAAAAACCCACCTATCTACAATTTCATTAATTAAAAATAATTTATTTTATTTTATTTGTTTTCTGCTTGTTTGTTGTCTTAACATACTTTGGTTTTCTTACCATTAAAATAAAGGTATTACTTTATTTTCATGGTAAGAAAACCAACATACATATTTACTTGTGATGTATTCACTTTTTTTATTTTGTAGTAGTTTCTTTTAAATCAATGCAATATCCTAATCAATACTTTCATTTATTTTATTTCATTTCATTGATAAATTGATAAATAGGTGTTTTGTAGTACTTTAAGGTTATTTGATGAGCACGGATAGAATGTCTGAGTTGTGTCCAATGAAATACAAATTTTGACCATAAGAAATAATGGAAAAGCTCATTCCTATTTACAAGAGATTTTCAAGAATGAAATATGCTTGTAAATCACAGTCATGCAGTACTACAGTAAACAAAATGAAAATATTTATATTTTTGGAAAGTAAAACAATTCATTTATTTTGATGCATTTTACATTAATATTAGTGAATTAGACTTCAACAACAGAAAAAGAAACATATATTTAACATTTAAGTATAAAAAGTTCCAGTAAACACAAATAGTTATGTATTAAGTGATTTTAAATTTTAAAAATACATTATTCAATTTAAACTGCAATGAAACTTGGATATTTTTAAAAACTTATTTTGTATAGTTTATTTGTTAATGATACTGTTTTAAAATCAAACAGAAGCTATTTACTTGTGAAGATTCCTCTTTGAAATAGTTTATTTTGATTTTGTTGTACTTTTTCTTATTTAATTACCTTAGTTTTATTACTGACTATTAATAATTATTTAAAAAAATAAACTTTGCACTCTGAATATTACTTTGTTTGAAACTTTTTCTTAGAATTGATAAATCTTTATGGAACATTTGTGTCTGATCTTCAGATCCTTCATAAATTTGATCACTTCTTAAAAATTACCAAAACAATCTAGATATTAAATAAAAAACTGGAGAATTGCTAAAGTTCTTTGCTGCTTAGACATGTTTTAATTCAAAACTTCAGTATGGAAGATGGAATATTCCAATGCAAGAATTGAGTACTATTTGATTGTTTCTAAGAACTTGTCTGGATATTTGAATAAATCTATGATGTGATCCTTATTCACATGATGGTAAACAAGTCAATTTGAGTACTAAAAACTAGTATTTTTCTTTGCCTTCAAAAATTCTAATCATATTACAGTAATATAGAAACCACATTATTCACTGATCTGGTTTCTCGAGGAATTCTAATTCACTGGTGCCGAGACTTTTTGATTGCTGGGCCAAAATTGCAGATAAGTTATAGGTAGGCAGGCCGTAAATATTTTGTATATTCCATATATACAGAAAACAGGCCTATTTCTATCATTTAGAGTTGATATGACAAATAAGTTCCCAGGCTGGATTTATGTGTGTTACAAACCAAATTTGACCCAGGGACTGAAGTTTGGGCACCATTGCTCTAATTAATCATTAACTTAATTCTCTATAATTATCATCATGTTAATCAATTTGTTTTCAAATTCTTGGTACTAGTTATTTACTAATTATGCCATATATGGCAAATTGACATTACTATGTTACTTATTCTCATTGTTTTCATGAATTACATTCATTTTTTGTTCTCAAGCTTGATTCTCAGAAACTTGTTTGATCCTTAAAAGTATTCAATTCTGTCCCTGATTAATTTCATCAAAGACTAATATTTAACAAAGATCTTGTATGTCCCTTGTCACATAATCTTTATTCTCTGACAAGGCTCAAAATTGTTTGCAGAATACAGTTTTTTATGCTCTGCAATGACCATTATACCCAGAAGCAATTTTACTTGTCTACTTATCTAGGTCGAGTTACATTCTTCATACCCAAAAATTATTTCAGTTTCCATGTTGAACAAGTTTCCAGCTTATAGTAAAATTTAATAGAGAAGAATTTGCTTTATTTCAAAGAATTTTTTCTATTTAGGCAGGTTTCTGTTTTGGTCAGGTTTTAATGTAGCATCTTTATTATTTATAAATAATAATAATGGCATAATTAGCATTACATATAATGCAATTCAAATAGGAAGAAAATTATCTGTAAAAACTTTAAGATATGAAAACTTATTTAATTTTTATTCATATGAATGTGTTTTCTATCTCGGTATTTGAGGTGGAACATTAGTAAAGCCTTTTCTCTGTGGCTTATAGAATTGCGTTTATTCTCAAAATTTTATTGGTTGATTTTGATAAAACTTTGCCATTATACATAGTGATGTGGAATTCAAAAATGTAATAAAAATGATAATCCGTGACTTAGTTTCTGAGATATAGTGGGGTCAGAGTGACAGTGTCCATGCTGACAGATGTGATTAATTAATGTCTAAGGTTACTAGCATGAGCAAGTGCAATTTATTTTAAATTCTTTTTTATACCATCATTAGCGGCAACTGATTGTCTTAGATGCCTTCCCGAAACAATATTATTGACTTGCTAGCACTTCGGCTCAATTCTTAGTTCATGTTTGACGAGAAATAGACTGTTCCTAGTATTAATCAAATATGGATTGATTATTTATCATAATTATTACTTGTATAATCAAGTTGTAAAATTATCATTGTATTTTATTTTAGCTATACTTTTAAAAATAAGTCAATTATCAATTGATAATTTTAGAGATATTTATACATATGTGTATATACCTATTATATAATAATTACATATGATTTGGTTTAAAACTGTGACCATGGCTAGTCATAGACCATATTAATTAAGCACTGTATCAAACTGACTACTCACAGTGACTGTGCATGTGATATTTTCTATATTTTCAATTAGTTTGTTTGGTTGGAGCAGTGGTTTGTGATGGATCAGAAAAAACATGCCATCTATCAATATTTATTACATAAATGAAAAATAGTCAAATAGTTCACTTGGAATTCTGGAAAATATAGAAGGAAGTTTGATGGGAGCATTTTCTTCTTTATTTAATAAGATAAGGCAGCACAATTCTAAATTTCTATATTGCTTTCATAAGTCTGTGTCAACATTTGATGAATTATTGAGTGAGTCATTTCTGTACAATCAATTATTGAATTATTCTTTACTTTAATCATGGTAAATCCATGCCCTTAAAGTCCTAATATAAAGCTCATGGAAATTTGGCAATGTAATTTTATTTTTTGTTTACTGCCGTATTATGCAATCTNAGTAATTTTTATATATATAAAAACTACTAAAGGCTATCTTAAAAAACAAAATCTTGTTAAGGAAGTATTTGACATTTTAATAAAGAATGTAGGTTCAGATCTCATTCAAGGCCAAATATTTTTTCTAAAATTCTGTTTCTTTGAGGAGACTATGTAATTTTATACACTACATTTATATTTTGGGTGTTACTTCTTTATTAAAAATATTAAAGATTCAGTATATAACGATATCTTTTGTTTATTAAAGAAAATAGCCAACTTTAATTTCTTTAAATTTATAATAATCAGACAGATCAATATAAACATTGCAAATGATTAAAATGAAATATTTTTATATTGCTATTTTTGTCTTTAATGTTCATGATTTTTCCACAAAGAAGTTAAGAAGTTTATTAACTTTAAATAGCTCTTAAAATATAACATTTTTAAGATAATAACATACAAAATTTACTTCTTTGAGTATTCACGTATTTACGTAAGGTAACAAATATAAATCAAATTTCCATCTTCATATTTTAAGTATAAATACTAATATTTAACTGCATATCATTTTTCAGTCTTTTGGTATAGAATACATAGGAATGAAATTTTACTTCATTCTTCCAACAATATTCATTTAAACTCATTTGATAGCTTTAAATGAGTTTGAAAATGTCTGGTAATTAGGGAGACGAATTTAATACATTGAGACAATTATAAAGAAGCCATTCACTCAATCTATAATTAATGCTAAAGATTATCATCCAGATAAAATGTACACTAATACAAAATAAGTTCTTTTAAATTTCTGCTAGATCAGAATATATTAAATCTACGTCAATTAAAATTGTTTTCCCCAATTTAAGAATTTTAAGGACGTGTAATTGAACAATCTTTCTGATCGTTTTGTTGCTGTATAGATTATTTCTAGTTTATCAAAATATAATAAACTCTTTAGTGAACTCTCAAAGGACTAAGTCATTTACTACATCAAGAATTCGTAATACACAATAAACCAGCAACAACTTGCTCAACTTGACCCTGAAACATTTAAAATTTTGGTGGTGCCATCTGTTATCGTATTTTATTAAAAATCTTTTTATATTCTAACTATTATAAAATGACAAAAAGCTTAATTTTCAATGTAGGGACGAGTTTTATAAATAATTGTAAATGCTAATAACATGATAAATCTTAAACATTTCAAATTGAAAATTAAATAAACATGTTTTCTGTTTTCTTTTTTACATATTTTTGATATCTGTAATGCTTACAACAATTTTACAAAATGCTGACTGTTAGGCAAAGAAAACTGATCTCCTCTGTGTTTATTTATTAGTGATTTATTTTATAAAATAAAATATCATGTTACAATTTGTTATCTAACTACAGAATGGCTTTTTACTTTTATTAAATTCCTTAACTGATATAAATTTAAATTTCCTTAAAAAAATTAGAACTAGAAGAAAAAAAAACTTACAGTAAAATAAAAATNGCTACATTAAAACCTGACCAAAACAGAAACCTGCCTAAATAGAAAAAATTCTTTGAAATAAAGCAAATTCTTCTCTATTAAATTTTACTATAAGCTGGAAACTTGTTCAACATGGAAACTGAAATAATTTTTGGGTATGAAGAATGTAACTCGACCTAGATAAGTAGACAAGTAAAATTGCTTCTGGGTATAATGGTCATTGCAGAGCATAAAAAACTGTATTCTGCAAACAATTTTGAGCCTTGTCAGAGAATAAAGATTATGTGACAAGGGACATACAAGATCTTTGTTAAATATTAGTCTTTGATGAAATTAATCAGGGACAGAATTGAATACTTTTAAGGATCAAACAAGTTTCTGAGAATCAAGCTTGAGAACAAAAAATGAATGTAATTCATGAAAACAATGAGAATAAGTAACATAGTAATGTCAATTTGCCATGTATGGCATAATTAGTAAATAACTAGTACCAAGAATTTGAAAACAAATTGATTAACATGATGATAATTATAGAGAATTAAGTTAATGATTAATTAGAGCAATGGTGCCCAAACTTCAGTCCCTGGGTCAAATTTGGTTTGTAACACACATAAATCCAGCCTGGGAACTTATTTGTCATATCAACTCTAAATGATAGAAATAGGCCTGTTTTCTGTATATATGGAATATACAAAATATTTACGGCCTGCCTACCTATAACTTATCTGCAATTTTGGCCCAGCAATCAAAAAGTCTCGGCACCAGTGAATTAGAATTCCTCGAGAAACCAGATCAGTGAATAATGTGGTTTCTATATTACTGTAATATGATTAGAATTTTTGAAGGCAAAGAAAAATACTAGTTTTTAGTACTCAAATTGACTTGTTTACCATCATGTGAATAAGGATCACATCATAGATTTATTCAAATATCCAGACAAGTTCTTAGAAACAATCAAATAGTACTCAATTCTTGCATTGGAATATTCCATCTTCCATACTGAAGTTTTGAATTAAAACATGTCTAAGCAGCAAAGAACTTTAGCAATTCTCCAGTTTTTTATTTAATATCTAGATTGTTTTGGTAATTTTTAAGAAGTGATCAAATTTATGAAGGATCTGAAGATCAGACACAAATGTTCCATAAAGATTTATCAATTCTAAGAAAAAGTTTCAAACAAAGTAATATTCAGAGTGCAAAGTTTATTTTTTTAAATAATTATTAATAGTCAGTAATAAAACTAAGGTAATTAAATAAGAAAAAGTACAACAAAATCAAAATAAACTATTTCAAAGAGGAATCTTCACAAGTAAATAGCTTCTGTTTGATTTTAAAACAGTATCATTAACAAATAAACTATACAAAATAAGTTTTTAAAAATATCCAAGTTTCATTGCAGTTTAAATTGAATAATGTATTTTTAAAATTTAAAATCACTTAATACATAACTATTTGTGTTTACTGGAACTTTTTATACTTAAATGTTAAATATATGTTTCTTTTTCTGTTGTTGAAGTCTAATTCACTAATATTAATGTAAAATGCATCAAAATAAATGAATTGTTTTACTTTCCAAAAATATAAATATTTTCATTTTGTTTACTGTAGTACTGCATGACTGTGATTTACAAGCATATTTCATTCTTGAAAATCTCTTGTAAATAGGAATGAGCTTTTCCATTATTTCTTATGGTCAAAATTTGTATTTCATTGGACACAACTCAGACATTCTATCCGTGCTCATCAAATAACCTTAAAGTACTACAAAACACCTATTTATCAATTTATCAATGAAATGAAATAAAATAAATGAAAGTATTGATTAGGATATTGCATTGATTTAAAAGAAACTACTACAAAATAAAAAAAGTGAATACATCACAAGTAAATATGTATGTTGGTTTTCTTACCATGAAAATAAAGTAATACCTTTATTTTAATGGTAAGAAAACCAAAGTATGTTAAGACAACAAACAAGCAGAAAACAAATAAAATAAAATAAATTATTTTTAATTAATGAAATTGTAGATAGGTGGGTTTTTATATTGAAATAAAGCCCACTAAACTGCAAACCCGCATTACATCATAATTTATTCCTTGCAAATGATAACAACATAATACTAAGAAAATGAAGAATGGAATCTAATCCATCTAACCAAGAAAATGGAAATTTCAATCTTGTCACCACTTGTGATTAAAATGTTTTGTTCTCATAAATATAAGCTGGCATTTTTGTATCAACTATTTCTCTTGTAAATGGAAAAGAGAAAGGAAATAAAACAGCTCACTATATTGAATTCTCATATATCAAGTAATATTAAATAGAAGTATTCAAATGATAACACTGGATTCAAGATGTAAATCTTAGAGTGACTTTTTGAAATGTTAAGTACAGAGCTTTGCGTATATGTTATACAGAATCTGGGAATGTTGCTCATTTAATAAAATAGGCAATTGCATCAAGTGATATTAGTGCAGCATTGTAGTAAATTTATGAACTTACATATTCTGGAGAGCTTTAATTTTGAAAAAATTGTAGATCTATAAATTTCCACTGTCATCTATGTGGTCGTCTGTCTTTCCCTAATCTCAAGAACAGACTAACGACACAAAACCTTTCTCACTAATTTCTAGCCTTATTAACTGGAGTACAAACGTTTTCGGCCTTCTTAATAGGCCTTCCTCGGGTACACTCCCGAGGAAGGCCTATTAAGAAGGCCGAAAACGTTTGTACTCCAGTTAATAAGGCTAGAAATTAGTGAGAAAGGTTTTGTGCCGTTAGTCTTGGAAATAGTTCTAGCTACATATGCATAGTAGTAACTCAAGAACAGAGTTAGATAGATGAAAACTGAGACCAGATATGGAAAGCTTAGGGGCAGGAGGCTCTAGTTAACTATATATGAAATTCTGACGCAAACCAGAAGTCACGTTAATTCAATTAAAAAATTTTCCCCTGAAAGGAGTTACATAGATGACTGGCATGACTATTCTAACAGGAAAAGTATGATGTACAGGGGCAAAACACTACTAATTTGAGGTAGAGAGCATGTATTTTAAATTAAATAAATTAAAAATTACAGCATTGTGACTTGTCACAATGCCAGGCTGTAATTTGCTCATTTTCATTTACCATTTCTTTGAAATTTCTAATTTTGAAGCTTTTGCTGTGAAAACTTACATTTTTATTATGTGCTTAAGCCCTAATCTAGCATTTAATGTAACATGTATGTAATAAACATCTTTAGGTAATATAAAATTTCATTAAGTATTCTTCAAGAAGACAATGCCAAAATAAATCTGCCCAACATTTTCTAAACCATAACTCCAATAATAAAAACAAAAATTGCTCTCTTATTAGAAAATTAATATGGTAATTTCATAAAACAAATAATTCAAAATTAGCAGTTGATGCACCTATTTCATTAATTAATTATGAAAACTTCTGCCTATTTCACAAAATCAGCAATATTCTTGGATTCTGCACGGCATATATCCAAGATTAAGAAATACTAATCTCATCTATAGTAATGCTTTTGTTTTCAAGAAATCTTAAATCATAGAAATATTAACAAAAATTCAAATGTTAACTAATGATTTTAAAATTAATTATAATTTGAAAAATGCATATTCAAAAGACAAAGAAAAACACTTATCTAATATAAAATAACCATTAAGATGATATTTGCATTTTATATTTTTGTGATATTTGATAAGTTTTATTCAACACGCATTATATTCATGTAGTGAATAAATATATTTACTTCTAAAAACAATTCATTTTATTTTGATTTTTATTCTTTTTGTCACTTTCTTAGCAGTGTAGACTTACATAAAAGTTCTTACTTTTATGTAGTCTACTTTTTTATTTTTCTTGTCTTGTTGATGTTTTGGCATTTATTTTGTTTACTTTATGCTACTGTTAGAATTTTTGTAGTTTTTTTATCCTCTACAATATAAGAAAATCTACTGTATCCTATATCCTAGATATACATATTTTGATAGTTTAATTTTTCTTACTTTGCCTATATTATATTTGATTTTATATTTGCTTTTTAATATATACATATTTATGTTTAAGAGTATATTTTATATATGACATTATATATAAAAATTTATATGCATATTTGTACATTCATACATTTTCCCCCTTTAATCTTGCAATATTAAACTTTTTTCGTTATTTTACGCACGCTTTCCTATTTTATCACAAAAATATAATATAACTTCCATTACTCTATCTCTGTTCTTATCATTTCCTTATATTTTATTATGATATTTATCTATGTATATTATATAAGTATTTTTTTAAAAAAAATTATTTAAATAATAATGATAAAAAAATATTGATATTATTCTAAGTTTTTTTTTTATCTAGAATCAAATTTTATAAATATTATTTTCTGTTTTCTACAATATTTTTTTTAATAATATTTCTATTTCACAAATTTCATTATGTTATATACATACTTTATCCAATTTCATTTTACTAACTTATTCCTTGGATTTGTTTTCGAATTATGGTCAATAAAATTTCTTGGTTCCATTAATATGTTTTGATGTGTATAGCAAATATATTTAAATGAAGGAGTAGAGAATTTATTGATGTGGGTGTAATGGAAATTCTAAAGAGGAAATGAAGTTCTTGCCAAATTATTATTATGTTCTTAATATACACTATGGTCAATTCGATTTAAACTAGTTTTAATCATCCCTGGCGCAAAATGAAAATGGCAAAAAAAATAATAATAATTTAATGATGTACTGTACCTAATTTAAATTGAAAATGAATAGATGATGGTGATGATGGTGATGATGAATTTCAGTATNTAAAAATATACTGGAAAATATTAATTTAATATATCTTTATTAATAAATAAAATACAATTAAAGAATCAAGTTAAATACATTAGGATCATAATTATCTGAATAAAAAATGTAATTATATATAAATAATCAATCAGAAAAATTGTTGTTTAAAGAAAATAAGGATCAAATATATATATATCTTGAATTACTCTAAACTCACAAATATTGCCTTTGTTAAAAAAGTTTGACAGATCATCATTTAGTATCACTCTACTCAATAAAATTGTATTCTATTAAATTAAATTATACAACTCAATGGAAATAATTGATATTTATTTTTTAAGGTGTGTCTTGGGTTGCATGCCAAGGGTTGTCCTTCCATTCTACACGCTTAAGAAACAATTTACAATTTGAGAAAAAATATTAAAATATATTTAAAGCATTTTACTTATATTTTTAACTATAACTATAACATTTTAGTCCAATGTTTCTAAATAAACAGAGCAAAATTCTTATACTGTATTCAGTATACTACCTACGAAAAACATGTACAGTACACCACCCTCCTGTTATAGCAACAAAACCAAAAGTTTTGTTACATACTATCCAAAATTTTAGTTTCAGTTTTACTATTATTTTTACATACAACTTTTTTCCACTTTCTTCATTCTACAGAAAAATTTTCTATATGCATTTCATCTGAAAAATTTTTTCTTGGAGATACATTGTAAAAACTTGCTTCTACTTTTTATACCATCAGTTTTATTCTACATTATAATGAAAGTGGTCAGTACACACATTAATAATCAGAATTATCCCTTTACAATCACAGTTTAACCTAAATAATTGCCATCTGTGAAAACATTAATCAGCATGTATCAACATGTAAAACAAGACTCTACTGTATTTGTAAACTTTGAAAAAATATAAGATAAATTTATATTTTAATACATTTTAAAAACTTTCTGTATGTCTATTTCCTAATTTTAATTAGAAAATTAAGTATATTTAATTATACTTTTGTTGTAATGATTATAATTGCTTTTATTAATAGATAACTATAATCTATTTATATACTTTTTGGTTTATCTATATTCATATTCTTTCTATTTAATTATAATTTGTGAGTTAGAGCAATTCAATTATTATGGAAAGCAGATTATTTCTATTCTCTTAAAACAATTGCTGCTAATGTAATTTTGGAGACATTATATATATATGTTA